CCATGGATAGCTGAACTTGTTGTTTCAGGATTTTGAATTGTTGATGAAACCGTGTTCCTTTCTTCTTTTGTTACAAAGGTTCTGTATGTCTGTGGAGTCCACTTGGCACTGGGACTACACTGAAGTCATGCACGATCCGCAATGTTTTACATTTTTTATTATGTGCTACCTTTACCACAGGCCTCTAGCCAATTCTGTCAACTGTAAGTTGCTCTATTGACTTTATTTTTGAGATTATAACATAACTACATTTCTCGCTTGCCTTTCCTCCCTTCAGATCCTCTCATATACTCCTCCCCACTCTCCTTCAAATCCATGGCCTCTCTTCTCACTAATAGTCATTGCATGCACATATGTGTATACATAGCTATTTTCCTAAATATAACCTGCACAATCTGCAGAATGTTGTCTGTACGCATGTTTTCAGGTCTGACCATCTGGCACTTAATAACCAATTTTTGTGCTCTTCCATGAGGAAGGCTACCTCTCTCTCTCTCCATTTCTAAGTTGCCTATAGTTCTTTGTGTAGGGTTCAGGCCTCCTGCATATTGACTTTTAAAACAAAAGGGAATTGATTAATTAAGGGCTACTGTCAACTCTACAAGACATTAAAAATGATGTCTTCTACTCTAATCATGTTACTGCCCATATATAATCTGATTCTTTTTTTAAAGAAAATTATGAGCATGGATGCTTGCATATGTATGTGTATGTCTATGTACCGTGTGTGCCTAGTGTCTTCGGAATCAAGAAGAGAGCGTCAGATCCTCTGGAACTGGAGTTAGAGATGGCTGTAAGCTGCAGGGTGGAGTAGCAAGTGCTGCTAACTGCTGAGCAGTCTCCAGCCCACTCCAGTTGTTACTACTGTCTAATCCTTATGGAGTACAGTGTACACAGTAGGTGTATCTAATGTCCCATCACATTCCTTCAGCTTTTGCCTAAATCAGGCCTAAATTCTCATCAGCTGCCTTCATTAACCCCTGCTCCTCCTGTCTTTTCAGGTGGGGTCAGTGTGGTCTAGCAGGCCATTGGCTGGGCTGCACCACGAAGCCCCTGGGATGTACAGCCTGGCAGTTGTACACTTCCTCCTGGAGAAGCCTCAGTGGTGGAGACTGTGATGCAGAGGTTTGCAGAGGCAGATGGTTGCGTTTCCTGACAGGAGAGAAGCTCTCCTGCACTTTATCTCTTCCTTCCTGCCCAGTTATAAATATAACCGCTGTTCAGCCAGCATGACCTGTTAGCTTTTATTACAGAGCTGGAGTACAAGTGATTAGTCTCAGGGTTAGGGGTAGGGCTGGCAATGAACTGTGTTTTAGGGTGATAAGAACTGGTGTATTCTTTCAAAATACATTGGCTTTCTCCGTAAGAAAAAAAATATTCAATGTAATAATTTTTTCGTATAAATGAAATTGTGGTTGCTTTAACTATTTCCCATTGGTGCCATAAATTTAGTCTTCATTTATCTTCTTAGCTGGGCATTTAAATGAAAGCTTGGATAACACTAGTTTATTGTACGTGGAGCATCTGTGAGCTTCAGATATGAACACTGCAGTGTTGAGAAGCCAAGGAGAGTTGGGATTTTAACCCTTCTCGCCATCACACTGCTAAATGCCCGAGAACCCTTCAGTCAGACTGCTCTATTCTGATAGGTCGAGAATCCTGGGTGGAGTTACAGGTGTAAGTCAGCTGCAGAGGGATGTGACAAACAGCATGGCACTGGCATCTGTATTCATGTTGACCCTTTGGCATACTGTTTTTAGGGAGACAGGAGGAAGGCCCGGTGGTTAGAATGTATAGCATGTTTAGAAAGTGATGTCTTGAAGGAAATGGTTACAAGAATTTGTTGAAGTAAAAATGTTTCATCTCTGACCAAATGGACTGCACCCTCTGAGGCTTGATAGGCACTGCAAATATGATCCCAGTCATATCTTCGTAGCCATCTTAAATTATTCAGTGCATGAGCTTTCTGCATGACCAGGCTCCATTTTGAGTTTTCACTTTAAAAAGCAAAAGCAAGCCGGGCGTTGGTGGCGCACGCCTTTAATCCCAGCACTTGGGAGGCAGAGGCAGGTGGATCTCTGTGAGTTCGAGGCCAGACTGGTCTCCAGAGAGAGTGCCAGGATAGGCACCAAAGCCACACAGAGAAACCCAGTCTCGAAAAACCAAAAAAAAAAAAGAAAGAAACCACACTGGCTGGCCCCCCAGAGGGGCCC